GAATTCTCAAAGTGGGAGGGGACTCCTGGAAATTAAAAGGACGATGGTGCAAGGGAATTGGGACAGAAGAGGAAGAGGGGGTGGGTTAAAAAAAACTAAAGATGTATGAAAAACTCTTATGGAAACCCATTGCTTTGTAAGCCAATTAGCTGGGTGTAGGTTTCATGCCTTTAATCTCAGTACATAGGAGGCAGAGGGCAAACTCTGTTTGGGTCCAGCCTTACGTATATAGCAAATCCCAGAAGAGTCGAGCTACATAGTGAAAACATGTCCCAAGAAGTAAATAAAAGGAAAAAAGAATTAAGAGTTTAAACACGGTACTCTGCATGGGTGGACAACACTTTTCCCATAAGACATGGCCTAGGAAGTGAAAATCTCAGTACCAGGTATTGACACACTTCCTTACAAATTATTGGTCTTGAAGCCCCCTTGAAAGTCCCCAGACAACAGGCAAGTGCTACTGTTCTTTCTTATCTTAATTAGCTTTCTTGAGCAGGAAGTTTTTTTAAAAAAATATTTATTTACTGTGTGCATGTGTGAACTTGTCATGGGCACATGTAGAGGTCAGAGGACACTTTGAGGGCATTGTCTCTCTTCCCATGTGAGTCTCAGGGATCAAATTTAGATTATTAAGCTTGGTGGCAATTGCCTTTATCTCATGGGCCATCTCACCAAGCCCTGCTATTGCTCCTAACTACCTACCTTAACTAGTCAGTATAATCCTATTGCTGAAGACACTGCACTGTGGTTGAAGCCATACAGAATTCAATCTGTAATTAATTGGTTGGGAAACTTCCTCCCTTCAGCCTAGCTTTCATAGTACTAAAAAGTGCTATGTAGTCCATAGGGTAAGACATTAATGGTCCAGCACTGGGTAAGACATCAACCGTCAAAGGTACAACACTGACTTGCCAGGCAGGATGTGCCCACTGGTGCAATAGTGGCATAACTGTTAGGGGTTATCCATGTGATCTTTTAAAAACTAAATCTGAGGCTCGTTCCACAGGAGGGAATTCATGCCCAGCACTGGTAATCTTGCCAAAAGCTCATGGATGAGAAGTTCACAGGGCCTAGTGGGAACTTGCCATTGTTTTTGCTAAATGTTGTCAAATCACCTTCTAACTATTTATATTTATACTCACAGCTTCGGACTGCTCTTAACTTGGGTCAGATCTGGATGTGACATGGCCACTGCATGGAGGAACTCCTAGAAGCGTTACTTATCTTCAAAAGTCCTGCATAAAATCAAGCCAGTCCCATCCTGAGACCCATCCCACAGGAGAGAGCCAACCCCTGACACTATTAATGATATTCTGCTATGCCTACAGACAGGAGCCTGGTGTAACTGTCTCCTGAGAGGTGTCACCCAGAAGCTGATGGAAACAGATGCAGAGACCCACAGCCAAACATCAGGCAGAGCCCAGGAAGTCTTTCGGAAGAGTTGGGGATGGAATTGAGTGAACAGAAAGCATCAAGAACACCACAAGAAGACCTACAGAGTCAAGTAACCTGGGCCCATGGGGACTCACAGAGACTGAACCACCAACCAAAGAGCGCACAGGGGCTGGACCTAGGCTTCCTACACATTTGTAGCAGATGTGCACTTGGTCTTCATGTGGGGCCCCTAACAATTGGAGTGGAGGCTGTCTCTGATTCCGTTGCCTGCTATTGGTTCCTCTTCCCCTAAGTGGACTGCCTGGTTGGGCCTCAGTGGGAGAAGATATCCCAGGGTGGGGTAGTACCCAAGTGAGAGTTTCCCCCTTTTCTGAGGAGAAGGGGATAGGGTAATGGAAAGAGGGATTTATAAGTGTGGGACTGGGAGGAGAGGAGGGGAGAGATTGGGATGTAAAGTAAATAAATAAATCACACACACACACAAAATCAAGCAAGTCAGAACGAGGCTCCACTTCTAGCTGAGAGGTTATTAGTAGTTGGTGGATGCCGGGGAGGGAGAGTAGTTTCTCTTTGGGGATGTGCCTATTGATAGGTTGGTTGTCATACTCAGGGGACAAGGGCAGAGGAAGGGCTGAGAAGTGGGAGGACATGATCAAAGTACATGTGTACACATATGAAATTCTCGGGAATGAAAACTGTATTAAAACATAACCAGGAAGGTGAAAACAGAATTAGAGGATCTAATGTCATTAGAGAATCTACATGTAAACAGTCCCTACGCACACTGCCTTGTTGATGCTTTTGTATTGTTTTTTGGTTATGTGAGACAAGGTTGGCCTTGAACTTCTGAATCTTCTTCCTCTGCCTCATTTTTTTGTATGCTAATAGTATATATTTACATGAGACTTTGTTTTTGTTTTTTAAAGACAAGATCTTTCTATATAGCTCTGAGTATCTCAAAATTCACTATGTAAACCAGGCTGGCCTTGAACTTGCAGAGTTCACCAAATACTCTTTTCCTCTGGTCCTCTCTCCCTCATTCCCTCTTCTTTTTCTTTGTACTTTCACACTTGTTTTTACAAAACGTTTTGCTATCTAGCCTGGGATAGCTTGATTTCTGGTTCCAGCCTTCAGAGTTTCTGGGGTTGCAGGCATATAACTACCCCTGTTCTGCCAGAGCTAAGTTTTGAGTCTAAGCCTTCTAATTTCAGAGTCCCTGCCCTTAACCACAGCACTGTTCTACACAGCAATTACTGTCCATCATTCATGAATTAGCAGAGAAACCAAACTGTTGTCACCAAATTGAAATTCCACGGGTAAATAAAAACCAAACAATAAAAACAAATTCTATGATCATTTTTATGCTTTGTGAATTAATCTTTTCAGTAGCTGCAACCACTTTGTGAATGAAAAGAAAATAGTGTTTTGAGGCAGCATCTAGCTATGTCACACAGGATGGCCTCACTCAGATTCTCTGCCTCAAGTGGTCTCCCTGCTCCAGCTTTCTTAGCAGTTGGGAATACAAATATATACCACAGCATGGAGGTCTGTGGTCATTTTTGTTTGTTAATTTTCAGACATGGTCTTACTATGTCTTTAGCCTAGCCTTGAACTTGTGATCTGACTGCCTCTGGATCTATAATGGGAGGGGTACAACATGACACTCAGGAATAAAAGGTATTTTAAGTACAGAAAAACTTTGATATAAATGAAAATTCATATTCTATTCAATGGTAAAGTGTCATGCTTCTTTTCTATGGGAAGTAAATTCAGTTGTATCTGGCTGGTAGCAATGGAATAACTTAAAAGAGTGTTCATGTGGGTGCATGCATGTGCATGTGTGTATGCCGGTCACAGGACAACTTTTACTGTCAGTTCTTGCCTTTGCACCTGGTTTAAGACAGGGTCCCTTAGCCACTGCACATATAAGCCAGGCCTGCTGGCTTCTGGAGACTCTCCCATCTCTGCCTCTGTGCTTCTCGTAGACCAGCCAGGATCACAGAGCTTGGGCTAGTACATCTAGCTTTTCATTATGACCAGTAGCTTGTTGTGTGGGTCCTGGGGCTCCAAGTTCAGGTGGTTAGGCCTGCAGTGCAAGTTTTTTTTTTTTTTTTTTTTTGTTAACCCATCTTTCGCCAGCCCCTAAGGCTCTTTAATTGTGAATATCTGTATCAAAATCAGCTGGAGGTTGGATAGTAGCAAGTGGTAGAGCACTTGCCTGGAACTCAAGGTCCTGAGTTGGAGTCTCACCAACACACACTTGTGATCTTACAAAAGACATGTAAGAGGAACTACATCTATTTTGCTATCTTTTCTCTTCCTTAGGATTGTTTTCCTCAAACTAAGCAATGGCTCCAGTTCTCATTTGAAAGCAAAAGTTCAAGTAAAAGTCCAGTAACTGATCCTTTTAAAGAACAAAGCTAACAAAGAAGAAAAAGGACTAGTGGAAAATAAGCATTATCCAGTCTTTGAGAATTGAAAAAAAAAAACAACTGGCTAAACATTAAGATAAAAGAACACATAGTGGGGTGGTGGGATGGCGGAGACAATTGCGCACAGGGTGCACGCCTATAAAAATAACTTCTCTTCTGCCCGTTTCTCTATTTAGACACCAGAAGGTAAAGATGAGTAAGTTCTGACTCAGAGACAAGGTCAAAGTGATTATCTTTTCCTTGTCAACAAAGGAGGGCCTGACCTGCACAGCGAGGAAAACATGTCTGTGGGAAGATTAGCTTTACTGTCAGGCGTTTTAAAGTAAACAGAAACACATGTGGTTAGGTAGCTGGTGGAAGAGTTCAAGAGAAATCCATGGTAGTATGAGGAATTGAGCTACAACTGCTTTGCCAATAAGACAGCGAAGTGCACATCAAGGAATAATTCACCAAATTACGTTAACCCCGCACTTTACCATCTCCCCGTGAATTTTGTACCATTTCAAACTTCACTCTAGGCCTGATGTGTGTGTGGTAAGTGTGTGTGAAGGGCGCTCCTCAATTGAATGGCAGCGAAGCACAGGGATTCTCGAGCCTCAGCTGTTTGGGGCTGAGCTGCACACGTGGTCGGTTCTCAGCCTCCTCTGACTTTGACAGGTGGAGGTGGGACAGGAAAGGCTGGGCGCCCACACTCCTCCATGTGGGGTAGTGTGTGGATCCGAACGTGGGTGAAGATCGCGGTAAAGCACTCGAGGGCCCTGAAAGGCTTCGGTGGACTGGTGGGCCCCGGCTTCCACCCAGCGGGGCGCGGCGCAGGGCGGGGCCACATGGAGCTCCGCCCACCGAGTAGCGGAGGTGCCTGGGCGAGAGGGGGGCGGGAGACGCTCTGTCCCACGCTCGCCCTGTACTCGGTGGTTTAAAGATGGCGGCGGCGGCTGGGGCGAGGAGCCGCCGGAGGGGGAGGGAGAAGGAGAGTCTGTGAGTCGCTGGGAGGCAGCGCGGCAGCGCGGCAGCGGCTCTGAGGAGTCCGCGTGCGGAGCTGCGGGCAACTCCGGCCCGGAGGGCCTGGGTTTGGGCCGGAGAGGCCAGAGCGGCGCCAGGAACTCCGAGGCCGGAGCAGAGGAGTAATGTGAGCAGGGGTCGGCGGGGGCGCGGGAGTACGCGAGCGGCGGGATGGGGCAGCAGGTGGGCCGCGTCGGGGAGGCTCCGGGGCTCCAGCAGCCGCAGCCGCGCGGGATCCGGGGCAGCAGCGCAGCCAGGCCCTCGGGCCGCAGGCGGGACCCGGCGGGGCGTACCGCAGACGCCGGCTTCAATGTCTTCACTCAGCACGGTGAGTGTGTCCGAAGCCGGCGGAGGACGTGAGGGAGCCCGGGGGGTGGGGTGGGGTCGGGGCGAGGTGCGAGGCGGACGGGGCAGCCTTCGGGGGGCGAGGGCTGGAGGGGTGCCCGCGAGTGGGGGCGGAATCGGCTGCCATCTGGGCCAGTCACGGGAGGCGAGGCACACCCCTCCCCCCGCCCAGCTAGGCTCTCCAGCCTGGCTGGCAGAGTCCGGGGGCGGCGGCGGCGGCGAGGAGGAACAGGGGTCTTAGGGACCCAGGCTTGACTGTCTTGCTGCCCTGGGACAGGACGGGGCGACTGTGGAACAGTGGATGGTATCCCCAGGGAGGGAAGGATGAAGGCAGGTATGAGCTCAGGTTCAGGAGGTGGGAGGATAAACCGGTTGTTAAGGACGGGAACGAGTCGTGCCCTGAGGAATTGGGAAATAGGTACTGAATCTTTAGGAGATTGGGGCATATTCGGTATGTGTTTTATTAATCAGGCGGTGAACAGTGTCAGAACGGTGAACTGTAGAACCCTTTTCAGTATCTCTTTACTTTCAGCAGAGTATTTTCTCCAAACTAAAAATGAAAGGCTTTGCCAAACCACCCTGTTCTGCCTATCAGAGTAGGATACAGGATTCTGAGATGGCTGGCGGGGCTGTAGATGGGTGGGCATGCTTAGGGCTTCCATGTGGGTATGAACATGAGTTTTTCTTTGAGCCACATTAGTGTATACAAATATGCTCTATGTAGTCTGGGACTTACTTGGTCTCACATTCTTCAGAAGAGCTGTTTCTAAACTATTTAAAATTATATTTATTTTGTGTATATGTGTGTATGTGTGTGTGTGTGTGTGCGCGCGCGCGTGCGTGCACATACCCACGTATGCAGAGGTCAGGAGACAACTTGGGGAATCATTTCTCTCCTTCTACCATGTGGGTCCCAGATACTAAACTCTTCATCAGACTGGGGGGGGGGGCAAGTGCCTAAACTCTTAATAAATACAAAATCTGAGCACATACTCTCTTAATTTGTGTCTTTATTAATATCCACAGGCTAATAATAATTAACAAATAATGTAATTAACAGTCAGAAATAGAGTATAAGAAAAGGTGTCATGAGGAATATTAAGATAGAGCCCTGTAAATTAGTGACAGTGTGCACAGCATGTCTGAGGCCTGAGTTCAAGCCCCAGCAGCCAAGAAAGAAAGAAAGAAGGAGAAGAATGAATGAATATTAAATTTTTCCCCTTGATGCCAAGTGGATTCTTTTGTTCTTCTGTAGTGTTGTTGATGATTTTTAAGAGCATTGTTCTAGAGGAGGGCAGAATAGAGAAGGAGAAAAATATCAGAAGCCATCCTAAGGCCTGAGAGGCTGTGTGATGGAGATGTAACATCTGTAGGAAGGACTTGCTAGCAGAGGTAGCAAGCTGGTTTCACTGATAATGCATACAGGAGCAAAGTGAAGGATAAACTGTCTCGAGCACATAGCTCAGAGAAAGGGAAGGAGAAGTGTAGACTAGTCATGGGAAAGGGAGGTTCAAAGGAAGTGACGATAATATGCAAAGAGATGATCCCAGGACTTGTAGCTACTGGGTGAGTTGTGTCTGAGTTCTGCATTTGGACTTAGGAATAAACAGAATTTGTTTCCCTTTTCCTTTTTTAATTTGTAAAAGCAAAATTTAATTTTACATGTATGTGTGTTTTGCTCATGTACATCTGTGTGCCATATGCATACCTGATGTCATCCATAGAGGCAAGCAGGAGGACATGAGGTCTCTTCCTGTAACTTGATGGTTGTGAGCTGCTATGTGGGTGCTGGGAACTGAACCCAGGTTCTCAGGCAGAACACTGGCTAACAGCACTCTTGCACATAGGAGTTCAGTTTGGGCCAAGTATAATAGTATACCATTTTAATATCAGCACCTGGGAGATAGAGACAGAAGGCTGTCTTTGAGTTTAGGGTTAACCTGGTCTCACCTGTTTTCAGCAGTGTTATAAAAAATGAGGATGTGTTAAAATTAACATGAAGGTTTTAACCTGGGTGACTGGGATAAGAACGATTTTATTGACAAAGTTGAAAGTTAATGTGAATATGATAGCCAAAGACTAGTGTAAAAAGAATTAATACATACTGGAAGAAATATAGTAAATCTTTTTTAATTCAGAGGGCGGGCAGGTGATCCAGGAGATTAAACTGAGGGTCTCATATAAGCTAGACAGGTACTCTCTCACTGAGCCAAGGCATCCAGTATAAGGAGGAACTTTTGAATTTAGTTAATATATGCACTCATGGGGCTAGGAGAGATGGCTCAGTGGTTAAGAGCACTGGCTGCTCTCCTAGAGGTTCTGAGTTCAATTCCCAGCAACTACATCGTGGCTCACAACCATCTGTAATGGGATCTGGTGTGTCTGAAGACAGCTACAGTGTACTCATATACATAAAATACATGTCTTTTTTTTTTTTTTTTAATATCCATTCAATTCAAAACCTACCACTGTTTCTAACAGTGGTAACCCACAAAGGATTACCTAGCCTACCTGAGGAGGCTGGGGTTAGAAATGTGAAGACATCTTTGCTTGTATGTAAGGAGACAAACTAGAGGGCTAGGTAGATGGCTCAGTGATCAGGCACTTGCTCACCCTGTCAAAAGCCCTACCTTTAGCCTTCTATACTGTTTTCAAAATAGACACCTGCAGCTTAGACACTCTCTGAATTTGAGGCCAGCCTGGTCTACATAGGAAGTACCCACTTGGCATGATTGTGAAAAATAGTCTAGATGATGGAAGTAGCACATAAATTACTATTCCTACTACATCCTGTAGTCTCAGCCTAGGAAAGCTGAGACAGATGAATTGCTGTGAATTTGAGGTTAGGTTGGGGTATGTAGTGAGTAGCTGAGCAACTAGGCCTGTGTAGCAAGGCCCCATCTCAAAAAACTGGAAAAAAAATCACTGTCTTGAGTGTATTGAATTATTAGCATATAAGTCCATAACTAAAAGGTCTGGTGTGGAACTGGAGAGGTAGCTGAGTAGTTGAGAGCTTGCTGCTCTTGCAGAGGACCTGAGTTTGGTTACTAAAACCCATTCTGGGTGGCTCATGACGGCTTGTAACTCCAGTTCCAGGATATCTGATGCCTTCTGACTTCCTCCAGCATCTTCTAACACACACACACACACACACACGTACACACACTAAATAAAAATAAATCTTAAAAGTGTGATAGGTCCTTGAGTTTATGTGTAGAGTTGTATTTTAAATTTTTTTATTATTACTGTGTGTATGTTTACATATATATATATATATATATATATATATATATATATATGGTTTTTTTTTGGGGGGGAGCAGTGTGTGTGTGCACATGTGTTTGAGTGCAGGTGTGCATGGAGATGAGGGAACGGTTTTTGGGAGTCCTCTCTCTTCTGTCCTGGGTTCCTGGAATTGTACTCATGTCATCAGGATTGCACAGCAACTGCTTTGCTTGTTGAATTGTATTACTGGCTCTACATAGAGATTTAGATTTTAATGTAAGTTACATATTTTATGTATCTTAGGAAGTTTATCAGAGTTCATGATTTTTTTTCTTTAGCTAAGAGTGGCAGTTGTTTCATTGTTAATATGAATAAGTAGTTACAGCAATTTGCTTTGCCAGAAATGTTTTTAGAAATGTAATTAGAAGGAATGAAATGGCACACTATTTTTTGGTACCAAAGAATGAGGTGCTGTATGACTTGCTAGTTTTGTAGTTGATGTTTTATTGGTGAGCCAGTGTTTTGTGCTAGTAATCTAGAGTTGATTGTGTACTTGTCTTTTTTGTGTTTCGTTTTGACACAGAATATTGCAGTGTATCCTTGGCTGGCTTTGAGCTTCCAGCAGTCTTTTAGATGTGTTCCATGCCTCGCTGCTTCATCTGCCATCAGTATCCAGCTTACCTTTCAACAGTTAAAAGATTTCAAGTCATTATTGCTTCCTACCTACTTTTTGAAAATTATATTTACAATAAACCACAAATTATGAAGTTGTGAATAGTAACATTTTTTCCTTAAACTCACTATTTTAAATAATTGAAATTTTTCCCTTCTGTGTCTGTAGTGCAGTTTTAAGTCTTTACAGAATAAATTGTGGATACCCCAAAGTGAAGTGATATTCCAGAAAGATAATGTGATTTGATATAGTAACCACTTATGATTCATTGAAACAGTCTCTGTGTAGCTCAGGCTGGTATTGTTTATTTAAGACCGAGTCTTCTGTAGCCCAGGGTGGTCTGAAGAGAGCCTTGAATTCCTAATTTCTCTGTCTCCATTTCCCAAATGCTGAAATTACAGATGTGCACCACTACATGGGGCTTGTAGGTTGGTCTTAAACTCTCTAGTGTACCTCCACCTCTAAATTGTAGGTGTTATCATGTCTGGTAGTGATCACTAATTGTTACTAGAATTAAACTTTTGTTGTTGTGTTTAGATAAGTCCTCACTCTATATCGCTAGCAGGCAGGCAACTCATTATGTAGGCCAGAAAAAAATTCTCTTATCTCTGTCTCTGTATCTACATATATATTTGGCTGGGCACAGTAGTTTGTGCCTATAATCCAGCACTCAGGAGCTGAGGCAGGAGGATTGAAAGCTATGAATGTAGAAGAGTGTAAAATACTATTCAGACCCTCTATTAGTAGTGGACCATTCTGTGTAAATGGTTCAGAACTACTGAACAGAAGAGACAGCTGAGAGCTCACATCTCCATCCACAACCATCAGGCAGAAAGAACACTGGAAATGGCTCTATCTGCCTCCAGTGACATACCTTCTTTAAGAAGACCACACCTCCTCTAATCCTTCCCAAACAGTTCACCAACTGAGGACCAACGATTCAAATATATGAGTGTATGGGGCCATTTTCATTCAGACCACCACACTTTGATTCTTTATTAGAACCTGAACTGGGTAAGTGTTCTTGGGTGGCTAAAGTATTCATTTAAATCACATACATATTCTTCCTTTTATATATTTCTGTA